GAAGGAATGTGCCAATATAGCCAAGAAGGACATGTCAAGTCATGACATTGCCCCCCCTCTTAGGTCGAGTACCACGAGAGCGATGAGATGGTGAACCAGGCTTGTTGGGATAACGGCGATGGAAGTCATTGATGGAGTCTTGAGCGTTCCAAAGGTGAGCTTGAGGTTCCCAGGTGTTTTCGGAAGGATCGGGATAGCCTTGCCAAGCAACTAAGTATTGTAACTTGCGATGATGGTAACGGCTATCAAGGACTTCGGCTACTTCATAATGGTCTTCACCTTCAACTTGGATTGGTGGTAAGGGAGCAGGAGTACGATTGTCGAAATCGGGGCAAGAAGGTGAGTCACGTGGTGTTAACAAGCTAACATGGAACACAGGGTGGATTCGGATGGAAGGTGGCAGGTCCAACTTGTATGCATGAGAACCAATGGTGGATAAGATCTTGAAAGGACCCAGCTTATTATGATCGAATTTGGCAGAAGGACGTGTTGTTTGGATATGCTTAGCCGAAAGGAAAACATAGTCGCCAGGTCGATAGGTGGGTGTGGGCCGACGATGCTTGTTGTAGTGCAAAGCTTGTTGTTCTTGTGCGAGCTTAATTTCCGATTGGAGTTGCTGATGCAGGTCTTGAAGGGATTGTACGAAGCTTTCCGATGTTGCTGATATACCGATTGGTGGAGGATGAGTCAAAGAAAACCGAGGATGAAAACCAAAAGTGGACTCAAATGGGGTATGGCGTGTGCTGGAATGAATAGAATTGTTGTAACTGAACTCAGCAAGTGGAAGGAGCGATACCCAATTATCTTGTTGGTAATTCATGAAGGTGCGAAGGTATTGTTCCAAGATAGCATTCGTACGTTCGGTTTGGCCATCTGTTTGGGGGTGGAAAGCAGTTGACATGTTGGCCTTGATATCAAGCAATTCAAGTAAAGAGCGCCAAAAACGGGAGGTGAAAACGGAACCACGATCAGAGATGATGTCGTCAGGGAGGCCATGCAAACGAAAAACGTTGTTGAGGAAAAGGTGTGCAAGTTCTTGAGCAGTGATAGTATCCATACATGGGATGAAATGTGCCATTTTGGTAAGGCGATCCACTACAACCCAAATAGCATTGAACCCCGAAGAAGTAGGTAAGCCAACGATAAAATCCATACTGATGGAAGCCCAAGGTCGTGGTGGTACTTGCAACGGCTTAAGGTGGCCTTGTGGAGATTGATGAGATGGCTTGGCACGTTTGCAGGTGGCACAATTGAAGACATAGCGGTTTACAAAGCGACGCATGCTTGGCCAATAATAAGAACGAGTGAGCAATTCGTATGTTTTGACCTGACCCAGATGACCCGTAGTAGCTGTGTCATGGTGTTGTTGAATGAGGTCAAGCTTCAATTGCGTGTTGTCGGGAATGTAGATACGATGATTGTCGACAAAGAGGAGGCCCAAGTTGGTGTCGAAATGATAACGTTGCAGATCTTTGCGGATGTGTTGAGGAGATGTGGATTGGTGTTGCACAAGATCGATCAAGCGTGAGAGTTTGGTATCACCAGGAATGAGTTGTTGGATGCGTTGTAATAATTCAGCATTATCAGGGCAAGTGGACATCGAATTGAGGGAGACTTGATCATCTCGAAGGATGGCATGGATGGGTTGCTTGTTGTGTGCATCACCAGGTTGAAACATCAAATCGGGTCGCCGAGAAAGGGCATCAGCCTTGGGGTTCTTGGATCCAGGACGATATGTGATCTTGAAGTTGTCGAATTCACTGAGCTTGGTAGACCATCTTGCATGACGTCGGTTGAGAACACGATTTTTGGATGTCATAAAGCTTTCCAAATTTTTGTGATCGGTATACACGGTAACGGGATGTTGTGCTCCTTGCAAATAGTGACGCCAAACACGAAAACCTTCAACGATAGCAAAAAGCTCCTTGTCAAACACGTCGTAGTTAACTTGATGTGTGTCGAATTTCTTGCTGAAAAAGGCAATAGGGAGAAGATGACCAGAAGAATCGGGTTGATTGAGAACGGCTGCATATGCCGCATCAGATGCATCGGTTTCAAGATACAATGGCTTGGAAGGATCGAAGTGCTGTAAAATGGGTGCAGATGTGAAGCAGCGTTTGAGTGTGTGAAAGGAGTCGTCTTCAGCTTGTCCCCAAGAAAACGGTACATCCTTTTGAAGAAGCTTGTAGAGTGGATTGCTGATGATGGAGTAATTGCGGATAAAACGTCGATAGAAGTTTGTGAAACCAAGGAAGCTGTGAATGTCATGGACATTGCGTGGAATAGGCCAATCGGTGACAGCGGTGACTTTTTTGGGATCCATAGCGAGACCCGAGCGACCCACAATAAAGCCAAGAAACTCCACATCAGGTACGTCGAATTGACATTTTTCGGCCTTGACGAATAGGCCTGCATCGCGTAGCTTTTGTAATACCAGCTTGACGTGTTGGTCGTGTTGTTGTTGATCATCGCTGAAAATCAAGATGTCATCCAAATAAACAAGGACGAAATGATCGAGGTATTCACGCAATACATCGTTGATGAGAGCTTGAAAAGAACCGGGTGCATTGGTCAGACCGAAAGGCATAACGTTGTACTGGAAATGGCCATAGCGTGTTCGAAATGCAGTCTTCCATTCATCACCCTCAGCAATACGAATACGATGATAGGCGTTTCGAATATCAAGTTTGGTGAAAACAGTGGCGGAAGTGAGGCGATCAAGCATTTCGTTGATGAGTGGAAGAGGATAGCGGTTTTTGACGGTAACTTTGTTGAGGCCACGATAATCAACTCAAAGTCGTAATGAGCCATCCTTTTTCTTCACAAACATAATAGGTGCACCAGCTGGACTTGTGGATCTGCTGATGAAGCCATTCTCAAGGTTGGTCTTGATGTATTCGGATAGTACGGCAAGCTCATCTTGTGAAAGGGGATAGATGGGACCAAAGGGAACGGTTGCATCATCGACAAGTGGTATGGCATGATCAACTCCTGGTCGATGGCTAGGGAGTGTATCAGCTTGTTCCTTATCAAAGACATCGGTGAAAAGGTGATACTTGGAAGGAATTGTGGTGGTGTCAGAGGGTGAGCTTGTGTCGGTTGATGATGGGATAGCGATGGTGGTGGCCAAAAGTGCTTGTACGACGTCGTCCGAAAGGTGATCATTGGTGAATGTGATGTGGCCGGTGCTCCAATTGATGGCTGGATTGTGTTGTGTCAACCATGGCATACCAAGAATAATGTTGTACGTGCCCAAAGATGTAGCATGTAGGATGATGTCTTCTTGGTGCGTATTGCTGGTTAAATGAACGGAGCATTCTTGTGTGATAATACCTGAGCTGATGGAACGGCCATCGACTGTGCGAACGATCAAAGGATTTGCACTTTCGGTGAATGGGATGTCATGATGTTGGGCGAATTTGGCATCAATAAAATTGCCCATGGCTCCTGAATCAATCATAGCACTAGTGTCAATGTGCTTGTTGCCATAATGTAAACGAATAGGGAGGTGGATGGGGTGATGAATAGTGGGGGATGGGGAGGAGGTGGTAGAACAATGGGTAGTCAGCGAAAATAGAGATGGAAAGAGAGATTTGGTATCAATGTCAATGTTTGTTTTATTGAACGATGATGAAGATGATAGTGTTGTTGAGCCCAAGGGTGACTCTCTTAATGTCCTTGGGCTTGACCTTTTCCCTTCTCGGGACAGGTTTTGACGTCGTGTCCGTCACCGCCACAATACATGCAAAGACCAAGACGTTTACGACGAGAACGTTCTTCTTGAGTGAGTGATCCACGTTTGACTTTTGCGGCATCCAGATCCATAGGTTGCACATCGTCATTGTTGTTGCTTGTGTGACGATCGGATGTGGAAACGGGTGTGGAAAAACGTTGATGGGGTCTTGGGGGCTGACGACGACGTTGTGTTTCTCTTTCACGTATTCGGTTGTCAATGTCAACGACTTTGCTAACATAGCGCCAAAGATCGGTTGGCATGTCGCGAGCTGCAAGTTCATCCTTAAGTCGATCACGGAGACTTTCACGAAATAAGGCGAGCAATGCAGGTTCGTTGAATTCGGTACGCAATGCGAGACGACGAAAGGTGGCAGCATGTTCAGAGGCTAAAGCTTGACCTTGTCTGAGGTAGATGAGTTTGCGTTCGGTGGCCAATTTTTCATTCACTTCTCCAAAAGCAACACAAAAAGCATCGAGGAACGCGTCAAAGGATGTCATGCATGGATCAAGCTGATCAGAACCAATATCTTCAAGATAAGGCTGAGCCCAATCAAAAGCGGCACCCTCCATGAACGAGCACATGTAGCAGATCTTGCCAAGGTCATGGGCAAAACTGTCAGTGGAGATTTCGATGGCCATTTTGATGCGAGTGATGAATTTGCGGATTTCTTCCGGTTTGCCATTGAAACGAGGAGGTTCGTTCATGCGAAGACGTTGCGTGTTGGTGAAAAATGGAGTGGATGAACGACTTGGAGAATCGAGAGTGAGATTACGCATAGCGTTGGTGGTATTGGAGACATCAGCAGCATTCAGCGTTGACGTGGCTGGAGCCGAAGCTGGAGATGTAGGTGCTGACATAATGATAGTGGGTGGGTAGGGATAAGGGGAAACTAGTTAAGGGATCAATTGGGGATACAATCAGAGATACAAACAATGATAATAAAGGGGTACTAGCTAAGGGGAAAAAATGAATCGAAAAATGGAAGAATGAAACAAGAAAATGAATCAGGATCAGGAGCAGAAAAGGAGACAGAAGAAAACAGGTAGCACTGAATGAGTCAGTTATACTGTGAGGAATGGGTTTGGGATGGTGGAAGGTGCTAGGTGCTTT